ACTAGGAACATATTTTTCAACGTATTAAAAATGCTTTCAACACCTGTTAGGTCTCGGCTATGATTTATTAGAGATGGAACTGATAACCATGTCTCAGACGTATCGGTCTTTGAAAAACCTAGCTGCGAGAGCTCCGAAGTCATGATTACTAAATCCCGCTTAAGTTAGGCTGGTCACGCATGCAGGATGCAAGAAAACCGCCTACCGAAATCTCTTCTTTACGTTGAGTTTGTAGATGTTAAGAGGACACCGGGTGGACAACTCAAAAGAAACAATGATATTTTGATATTTTCCACGAAAATTTAAACGGGATAAGCAGCGCATAATAAACTAATCGAAAAAAGTTAAGGATATCGTGTTTTAGCTAGGAAGAAAATTTTTCAGAAAAAATGTGTTATAACTATTAATACCTATGTCGTGTGTGTTTAAAAAAAATACTGTTTGTAAACATAAAAAATTGTACCCAAACAAATAAAAAGCATTATCATCAAAAATGTACAGGGTGGACCATTTTGGTTGTTTCTATAGGGTATCTAGGAAGCCGTGAGAAATATACAAATTTTGATGCTCCAGTCTCGGGTTCTTTTTTTGAAAAAATTACAATGGCGCAAACGGATCGTGGCTATCTTGATCGGTTTCGAAGCTACAGGGGATTCTCAATTTTTTTACTTTTTGAAGATGTTCGATAGTTTGTTTATTTCAGCAACCACGGAAAAATGGATTATACATTCGTAGTCAGACTTTTTTCGCAAAAAATATTTTTTGAGATATTAACTATACTTATGTTTTTTTAAATAGAACCCCCTGTATATTTTTAAATTTTCTTATTCAGCTTGGCATGGGCTTCTCGAAAATATATAACACACTATATTTATTTTCACTATTAACCTCAACATTTTAAATTTTTCTTAAAATATCTACTTAGTAGATAGTAGGCCGCGCCGAGTAACAAAGTAAACGGTTGTCACGGTGATCGGGACATACCTTTGATGGATACGTGACATTTCATTTCAACAGATTGAAGTGTGTGTATTTTAAATAATAAAAAAATGAGTAAATTTGAAAATTTTGAGAAATATAATATGTTAGAATGTTATATTGAGTCTAACAAACATAAGCAAATGGCAGCTGATTTATATTTTGAGCGGTATCCAGAGCGCGAGCAACCAAATCCAGCCATTTTTAAAAGGCTAGAAGATAGTTTAATCAGTTTTGGATCTTTTCAAAAACCGCGTCCGAAAAATTATCAGAAAGAAGATGGACGTCACCAGGACGGATAGCGTTTGTGGATTTATGAACCATACTGTATATAAGTAGAATTGAATATGTTCATTTGTTTTGAAGGATTATGGTAACAAATAATTCTCAGACAAGCTTAGTATGGTTTATTTTTATTTTTAGAACTATTATGATAGTCTAAAACTGAAAAATACTTTTAATACTAAAAATTATTTGCTGATAAAATTGTGTTAAATATTTCGTCGATTTGTATGGAGACTAGTAGTGGGAACTATCGAATGAATACTATCGAAACATTCGATAGTTGCAATTCATTCGAATAATTCGATAGTTTTAGTAAGAAAACATTCGTTGAAAACTATTCGAATAAAAATTATCGAATAGATCCGTCAGCTGCCTTCAAATATTGTATTCTAGTAATTCGGCAGCAAAAACCATTCATTTATAAAATTCATTCATTTATGAAATTCATTTATTTGTCAGGATCGATTATAATAAAATATTAACTGAATTTTAGTTGTCGCCCGGCGACGTAGGTTTCTTTCCGAGAAACCCGACAGCGGTCGGTGGCAATGCTATGAAAGAAGCCGGCATCTTTGATTTTTTGCGGAGTCAGATATAGATAAGGACACATTATTTTTTTTATTGAGGTGCTAGTATTTACACAGAAAATACATTATGAAGGGCGCTGTTGCCATATTTTGGTATTAGTTGATATTAGCAAAGAATATTATTGTTTGGCTTTAGTTAGTTAGGGTTAGTATGTCTATATATTCTGCATTTTTTTATTAATATTCTGTTGTTACACTGCAATAATACTTGTTATTTTGGATGTAGGAAAATGATTTTTAATGTTTTTAAGCAAAGACTGGTTTAATAAATAATAATAACAGTAATAATTTGTTATACCTATTAACAACAAAATTTAAAATCTTTTAATATAAATATTTTTTTTAAGTAGTAGCAAAATATAAACAACAAATTAGATGTCAAAATTATTTATATTAGATCCTATTTAAAAATAATATAGTCTCTAAATTTTTTGTGCCTGGCAACGTTGGTTTATTAAATAATAATAATTACAGAACTAATTTGTTATATTAACAACAAATTTTAAAATCATGAAATATAAACATTTATTAATTTTCTAAGCATGCAGTGTAATGGAAGGAAAATATAAATAAAAAATTAGAAATCAAAATTATTTATATTAGGTGCTTTATATTACTATTTAAAAATTATATTTACTTTTACTGGCATTTACTTTAAAAAATAAATGAAATATTTCTTCGCAAAAACTACATGTAAGAGAATTAGCATAAACAAAATACAAACATCGTTAACTTTTTTTTTTAAATTGGCACGTGTAAAACTTTCATTTTAAATTTTCTCACCCCATAGTTTGAGTTCGATAACCATTTACTTAACAACATTACTTAAATATGATTATTAAGTTCAACTAATTCATATTATTAAAACATCTAAAATACAAATATGTATTTTTAAAATTAATTGTAAGTTCATCTCATCTCTCTAAAAATTGCTACTTCTCAAAATTTCCCATTAAAAATAGACCATATACCATATAAAATTAAATAATTGAATGATCGGACTACGGAAAACCACACAAATTTTCGGAAAAATTTTGACCACCTGCACATGCACACAATCGTCAATAAATAAAATTAAAAAATAACTACTATTTTAGTATTTTAACTATTTTAATAAACGCAAAAATAGCACAGTATTTATACGGCGAAGTTATAAAAATTTGGAAGAACTAATAATGCACTGACGCATACAAAAATCAAATGAATACTAAATTTCATTTATCAAAAGCATTCGATAGTCATGGCTCAACGATAACCATTTAGTCGCACGGCGAGGTTGCCACATATGCTTTAGTATACAAATGAATGAATGATTTTATTCGAATAAAACCATTCGATAGTTGAAATCATTCATTCATTAACCATTCGATAGTCTCATTCATTCGATAGTTCCCATCGCTAATGGAGACGTTGAAGTTTTTTTTTGGTACAAACAGCAAATGGTTTTTTGTAGGATCGACGGGTAAAAACCGTTCTTTTTTACTGTAAGGAATCTTGATGGGAGGTAGGACGATGGTAACCGAACGTGGTTCGTGGTTCCCGACGGGAAAGATTATTTAAGCGACGGGAGCGCGAAAACGGGGGCCTTCCTGTTGAGACTAAGTACCGGTGATCTTTTCTAAGTAAACCTCGTGAGTTTAAGTCAATTCTGATCCTTTTTTTTTATCAGCGCTGCTGTAAAAAACCGAATTCTTGAGTTTTAAAGTAAAAGTACCGTACCTCCGTTTTTGATTTTAAATAAGTATAAATCGTGGTCCCAGAGATTTGATTTAAAATCAGTGCAAACCGTATTTCCGATTTATGAGTATAGATAGTTAAAAAAACCGAGCATTTAAGTTTTTTTTATACCTGACCGTGAATAGACAACCAGGCCGTTTCGTTTTGATGCGACGCCGATTTTCTTAAGTTTTCTTTATCCCTGACCGTGAATAATTAGTGTGACCGGATTCCGGGCTGCTGTACGCGATTCAGACAACCAGACCGTTTCGTTTGATCCGACGCCGATTTCCTTCAGAAAAAAAGGTAATCGCATTCTTTCTTTTTTTTGTAACCGCCAGATACCCCATCAGAGTTCTAGTAATCACAAATTTTAGTTTCAGCACAGTAGAGTTTTTGATTTTATTTTTATGGTAAAAAATTCCTTTACGGAGGAGGAGTTAATTAAGGTTCCTCTTTTGTTTTACCATGAAATTAACTGATTTAATTTCTCTGTGTTAGATTTTGCGATATTTCATGTTTTAATATTTTCTTCATATTTGATTTATTTGCAGATATTGGATTCATAATTAATTTATTTAAATAAACCTCGTTATGGAATATATTCGACTTTAACTGGCTTTTGCCCCATTTCCCTGGATTCTCCACTGTAGAAAAGCTACCCGTATTGGCCGAAGCGATCTCTCAAACATTTTAAATTTTGGGGGTGGCGCCCGAGAGAAAAAAGACCGACTGTTAGGCGTTAGTAATAGCTCTCTAGAAAAAAAAAGATTGTTACAGTATTAATAGCTATAACACATTTTTTCTGAAAAATTTTCTTCTTAGCGGAAACACAATATCCTTAACTTTTTTCGACCAGTTCAGAACGCAATGGAGAAGAATTGTGAACTCAGATAACAACGATAACCAAAAAGCAAAGAGGCAACAAAGTAATGACATATTTGAAGGTCCGGAGTGCGGAAGAGAGATAAAGAAAACGCCATCCGTAACTATCCTCTGATACGTGTTAAATACTCGTCGGCGAGTAATGGCAGTAAGTAAATATGCTGTAAATATACAACACAAATAATCTGAATAAGATATTTTTCTCACTAATATCGCACGAAACTTTTAAAATGAAAGCAAGACACATTTCTTATAAAGTGTTTTAGATTTTTTTTACCTTTTTGAGCTTTTCGAACTGGCAAAACAAACTTTAATATAGGCATTTTATTTTAATTTAGTATAAACAAAAACGAAACTGTATTATTTGCCCATAAATTTGAACACATGCACGCACTCGGACCACATTTTGTTTTTGAACAGTTCAAAAATACTTTATTGTTTCTAAAAATACTGGAAATTTGTCAAAATGTGCGCCGTTAAATTTATTTCTGTTCGAAAATTTTCTATATTTGTTTTTCTTTACAAATTAATTTCGTTAAAAATACATACCTTGAAGTTCCTTTTCCGTAAATTCCTTTTTTATTGATGAACTCTAAAAAATAAAAATAATTTTTAATTACATTATTTGAAAAAATAATGTACTGGGTATGAGAAAAGAAATGGAGAAGTTATAAAATGACATGTAATGAAATGAAGGTACAGAAATCCTGTGAACAAAACCTTTTTAATATACCCAGAAAATATATTTAACGCTTACTAAAAACTTCCCATCGTTATACTAGCCAAATGCCTTACATATTTTAATATAAGTATGACAAGTAATGGCATCAAATACAAGTTTATATTTATATTTCACTAAAATAGATTTTAATTTTAAAATAATATGCCTGGAAATAGAGTTAAATTTGTTATAATTTAATTAATAAACATTGTATATATTTTGAGGGTCCCATCATGCTAATAAGCATAATCCACAATGCATAATATTGACCGGTTTAATAATTTTTGTTGTTTACATAATTCTGTATCTAATTAAATAAATAATAATACAATTTAATTAATTAAAATTAACAAAAATGTACTAGGAAACAAAAAGATAAATAATAGGGTACTATGTTTCACGAAATATTTGAAATTTTAGGAGAATATGTAAGTTAACAAAGAAGAAGAACTGAAAGCATTTTATAAAAATACATAGAGTTCTACAGGGTGTCCCCAAAAAAGTTACGAGTCAAAGATATGTTTTTTTTGTAACGGAACACCCTATATATTAATTGATTTTCGGATTCTATATAAAAAATAAAGGTGAGTTTTATTAAAGAAGCATATGCCTAAAACGTAAGGATTTTGATATATTTCAAATTTTGTGAAAACGAAGAACACATTTTAAATTTCAATAACATCTATGTAAATTGTTATTTACCCTGTATAACCTGATATTTAATTGCAATAACCATTGTATGTTAAACCAAATTAAAATTTGACCCGAAAAGTTATACAGGGTGACACAAAATTAATATTGAATATTCGTAACATTTGAAAGCATGTTACTTCTCTATTTTAAATAGAACACCCAGTATATTATTCCGATGTTCAATGGAGAATTCATATATCTTGAAAATATTATTAAGGTTGCTGCCATTACAAAACTCAATATTCTAACTAATCATTTACTTTTCAAATTATCACTATACAGGGTGCTACAAATTCGAGGTGCGAGCATTGGTATCTTGGAAACCGTAATAGATGCGAAGATAGTTAAATTGGGGCAAAGTTGCCCCGCCCTTGGGATGTTCACCAAGATTCCATCAAAAAAGTTTTAAAAATTTCAAGGATTGCTGAGTTTTTTGGAAAAAAACGGATTTTTTTGAAAATCCATTTTATTTTTTCCTGTCGTTACTTTTTAGAAAATCAAAAAACTAATTGCACATTCTGATAGCCACTTTATTAGGACTATCTGATAGTAAATAAATAATAAATAAATAAATAAATGCCTTTATTGCCAAAAAAATTTTCAATTTGTAGACAAAGGTAAACTAACAAACAAAGTAAAAATACAAGGTACACAAACAAACAAACAAAAGATAATACAAAACATTATACAAATAATATTGTCAGTCTTATTGTTAAAATAAACATTTATTCAATATTCAAATATAAATAAGGAAGGAAGAGTCAATATTTTTAATTTTTTAAAAAAGTCCCGGCAATGAGTTCCGCTGTTTAGTCCCAGTGAATATCGAACAGCTCTCTTCTGGAGCCTGAAAATGCGGTCAAATTGAGTCGCACAACACGCACCCCAGAATGGAAGGGCATACCTGAGGTGCGACTCAAAAAGTGCATAATAAACAGTTCTAGCCACTGACAAGTTAAGCTCCTTAGAAACAGACCTTAATGCAAAACAGGCAGAGCTCAATTTTTTCGACAAAGCTTCGATATGTATGTCCCATTTCAGAGAATTGTCCACAACAAGCCCTAAGAATTTTACAGATTTTACGACGTCAATGGTGGTGTTGTTAAGTACAAAAGGCTGCAACGAGTTTTTATACGACAAAGCCTTAGTTTTAGAAATGTTGAGACTCAGGAGGTTCGAATCGCATGAAAATTTAATGGTGATTAAGTCATTTGATATAATCCTATGAAGTGCCGCGATGTCCTTGTTGCTCCAAGTGAAGCTAGTGTCGTCCGTAAAAAGACATATTTTGCCACTGATGTTTATGTTAGCAATGTCGTTAATAAAAAGAAGAAACAAAATAGGGCCTAGTACTGAGCCTTGTGGTACTCCACATTCTATTGGCTTGCTAGAAGACAACGTGGTATCCACCCTCACAAGTTGACTTCTGTTGTTCAGATACGACTTAAACCATTCGAGAGATGATCCCCTGAACCCATAGTGCTGCAGTTTATTAATTAAGATCTTATGATTTACACAATCGAACGCCTTAGAAAAATCACAGAAAATTGTTGCTGTAGAGTGATGGTTGTTTAGGCTGGAGTAAAATTTATTAAGGAGGGAAAACATAGCCTCATTTGTGGACTTGTTGCTTAGAAATCCAAATTGATATTCAGTAAGTATTTTGTACTTAAACAGAAAAGATACCAGCCTTCTTTTAACCAACCTTTCTATGATCTTAGATAGCGTGTAGCGAAAAACTTACTACTTAGTATTTTTAGATTTTCAAATTAGCTGATAATTTGTGAGATACAGAGCCCAACTTAATTATTTTAAATACGGACCTGCCTTTTTTATTTCATGTTTTGAAAGAACTCGGTCTCTTACAAACGAATTTCAAGTCCGGCTCTGTTTTTTATAAATATTTGATTTATTTATAATAACTACGATTCATATGATGCATATTATTAGATCGTACATTGAGATTTTAAATTCACAATAAAAAAAAAATAAAAATAATGTCTTTAAATTGCTTACTTAAAAGTATAAAGTGTGACGTTGTATTCGGGAGATCGAGTTCTTTCAAAACATGAAACGTGGCTAACGTCATATTCAAGGCCTGACTGTTTTGACAGTTCTACCGAAGTGGTCCAGAATTAGTAGTCGTAAACAAACCAATTGTTTTCATTAGTTTCGCAACAAATCTGTGTTTTTACGCGTTTCTATGCTAATAAAATTATACTAAATAATTTTGAGTGAATAGTGAACTATCTAGATCCGATTCATAACATTGAACCCGCAAAAAAAAACATACTTTTGGTAAAAATTGTAGTAACACCGGCAATGCCGGCTGTGTGTCCGTGCTAGAAAAAAGTTGGGGAATTTATATAAAATCATAACTAATAGCGTTAGTGTTAGTGTATAGTGTTAAACCAACGTAAGTGACGTGTATTTTTATGTAAAACAGTTTTCGTTTCTTTATTTTTACTTTGTGAAATAAAAAATTCCGCGACATTGTTCTGTGCCTGTGCCTTGTAGCATCAATTATAATAAGTCCTCAGGATCTGTCTACATTCTCTTTCCCAACAATATTAACTGTAACTAAGTCACGTCCAAAACCTACAGAACATGCTGTGCCTACAATTTTTCCAAATCAACCCTCTTATGAACCCTCTGTGCATGTTCCCATAAAGAGAAAACGTCCCGATGAAAGAAAACAAGATTTGGAAATTCAGGATGAAATAAATATTGAAAAGTATTATTATTATTATGAAATGGCAAATATATTTTAAAGAAATTAAATGAATTTGTACTTTATTTCAGTATTTTATATAAAAAAAATGATATCATTATCTTTTTATTTACGATTTATGGAGATGGTTACTTGATGAACATCGAACTACAAATTACTTAATCTTAATAGTTAGTTCTATCTGATATCCACATTTTTTAAATATGTTACGCAAATTTTTACAATTATTTTTAATTAAACTTTAAAATGTATTCTGCCGTTATCATATACAATACATTTTCTTAACTTGTCGATAAACGTATAGTTTTCAAATTTTTTAATATTTGGAAACTTTTTATCACAGGTATATTATCACTAGTTGCTAAATACTCGCTAACGCAATTTTAGGACACGCTTTTTATTATCTAGATTTAATTTTTTCATCTTATGCTGTAGTTTATGTCATATTAATATTCGTGCTTTAGATCTAAATTTTAATGCTATTCAGTTACTTTAACGCGATAAAAAGTTAATGTTATTTTTTAATACCTTTCTGTATAATATTTTTCATATTTATATCTGGCAAAACTATCAATAAATACTATTATTTATGCAAAACCTATATGCAGCACCATATGGCACAATACAAAAGCCGGACTAGTGCGGTGACGTCACAAATCGATGTCTCTGGCCTGTCTGTCATGTTGGTCATGCATGAAATAAAAAAGGCAGGTCCGTATTTGAAAAAAAAAATAATTTGGGCTCTGTATCTCACAAATTATCAGCCAATTTGAAAATCTAAAAATACTATCAGATAGCCCTAATAAAGTGGTTAGGAGAAAGTGTAATTAGTTTTTTAATTTTCTAAAAAAAAACTCAGCAATCCTTGAAATTTTTAAAACTTTTTTGATTGCATCTTGGTGAACATTTTTAACGAAAAAAAAATATTGGTACTCACCCTTCTTCTGCCTAGACCAGCCAATGCCATGACAAAAGCACTCTACTTTCCTTGGAGCAATCGGACCATTTAGTAATGAACAACCAAAAGTTTTTTTCCCCAAAATCTGGTTTTTTTTGTTGACGATTGTATCGTAGTAAAATGTGTTAGGAATTGCGGATCTCACACTTGTTTACATTGGATGGCACAAAAATAAGTTCGGCGATCGGTGCCAGCTTAGCAAACTTTCATCGCTCTAAACATGTCGCAAAACGTATATTTCATTTGGTGTCGTTTGGACCCCCCCCCAGTCTCAGCGAAGCTCTGAAATTTTTTCGAAAAAATATCAAATGGGTTAGCAGGAAGCGAGAAAATATCGAAATTGCACCGGTGTGAGTCATCCAGTGCTAACATTGACACTGACAGATGATTTGTTGATGTTTTGATTTTTTTTCTGGATTTTTGAATTAAGGCTTATTTTTAGAATGTAGTAAGAATGTTTACTTTTAAATCAATCAGTGCCTTCTATTAAAAGATCAGCCTACGGGCGAGATTTATGACGTCACGCTAGTTAGATATAACGGATTAATAAATATGTTGTAGAATACATGGAAAACATAATCATTCCTCAGACTTTTGGTTTGTATTTTAAAAATGATATAGTTTACATGAAATATACATAATATACAGTTAATAACTACAACGTATATACCTATTTATAGTAATAAATACTTTGGCAAATAAACTATAAACCATACAAATGCAGCAAATGTTTTACTATACAAATAATGTATAGGTACATAAGATATTGGGTAAAATGAAATATATTTTAAATTTTAGGGTTTGAAAATCGATCTAATTTAACAAAAAACATTCAATATCTACTAATAGTGATGTATTATTATTTGCATTCACAAAATTTATATGTATATTTTGCAAGTATCAATGTTCGAAAAATTATATTTACAAATAATACAATATTATCTAAAAAAAAGGCGTCAGCGATGGCTATGAAATGAAGATCGCTGGCATTTTATATATAAAATTATTCTAAAATTTTTTATTTAACTTGGGATTTTTTTAGGTGCGGGAAAAAACGCTGATTTAAGTTTTCATTTGGGTTTTCATTATTTTTATTTGGTTTAAAATAACGTTTCGGCTAATTATAGCCTTCATCAGTGTTGTGTCATATGAGAAAAATAGTGTCGAATATAATCCAAAAAATTACATATACAATATAATTCACACCTCATAATGTTTACTGCAATTAATAAACTAATATAAACTTATCAAAAGATGACCACATATTTTTAAAATTATTATTCTTAACACTAAAATTATCTACATTGACTATGGAGTACGCAGTAAACATTATGTGCGTGGTGTGAATATTTTATATGTAATTTTTTGGATTATATTCGACACTATTTTTTTCATATGACACAACACTGATGAAGGCTATAATGTTAACCGAAACGTTTTTTTTTAAACCAAATAAAAATAATGAAAAACCAAATGAAAATTTAATCAGCGTTTTTCCCGAACCTAAATCCCAAGAAAATCAAAAAATTTAGAATATTTAGAAACAAGGTTCAAGAATATCAAATTTTCCAAGATTGTAAAATTCTAGTTAATTATTTTATGTGTACAGTTATTTAGGGAATGTCATCGATGTTCATTTCCAAGCCAACTAGACGCCGATTTTTTTCGATGATACGGTATAATTCTTACGTAAAATGTAAATAACATTAGACCAATTAAAACAAAGAAATATGAATTTCTTAGTATTTTTAGTAACACCTTTATTCTTAAAACTTAATTTTGTATTATGCAAATATACCAATTTTATTATTTTATTCATATTGTATTCAGCCATCACTTAAATATTTGATATTAATTTGGTATTATAAATTATCAACACTATTCATTAAAAATTACTCAACCAATATATGTTATGCTTGACATACATTATATATTATCAAACAAAAACACATTCTTCTTTTAAACTGTATCAGTCTTGTCTTTACAAAAATCTTTTTTAAAATTTGAACTCAAAATAATAATCTTTTTCATGATCTTTAATACACATATTCTTTATTTTTCCCTAGATCATAATACCTACTTACGTGTTTGAATCTATCGAAGCTGAACCAACATACCAACAACACTTGGAGTGGAGATTCCACCAATATGAATAAAATAAACATAATTGTCCAGTTTTCATTAATACCATCATGGGAGAATATTATTTTTAAATTTATTAAAGATATTTTCAATAGAATTCTCTTGATTTATAACCCGTACCCACTTTTCTTGCTCTTCCAGATACTTTAGGCTGCCTAGTATAACTATCCTTTCCACCAGACCAGGAACACAACAAAGATGAGGCATAGCACCAAAAACACACTCCACTTAAGCTTTATTGATGAATTGTTAGAGTCTTAAAAAACACACACAAAAATCACGATAAGTAAAAAATGCATGGGCACTTTTAGGTTAAATCACTTAAACAACGTGTAATTTTTCAATTTTTCAATTTTTTTATGCGAAACCGAGAGTGACCATATATCTGGTAGTAGTTTCTGTCACTTAAACACCAAAATAATTAGTTTTTTGCACTACAATAATAAATAATACCAAAAATCAAAGAGTTAAAACCAAAAATCAACCGACAAAATATGAAACGGAATCTAACCCAATATCTAAGTATGTACAGCTGATGAAGTAAACAAAAGTCTGCCCCTAGGCTGATCTTTTAATAGAAGGCACTGAATCAATTATCCAATAGTTAGTAGACTTAAATAAATATACCTTTGTGGTGGGCTCATTCTGGATTGGATTCAATGAAGGAAAAATTAAAAAAAAAGAGAGATATAAGTACATATATAGCTTCAAAGCTTATATAAACATCATTTTTTTATTGAAAAATGATTTTTGTATGCCATTTTTAGAAAATTTTATGTAGTATTTAAGATTTTATTTATTATTGAATATCTATACCGGGTGCGTCTCAAAAGTCGCTCGCCCCTATAACTTTTCAATTTTTTCAGATAAAAAAACGAGATTTGGTATGTTAGTATATGACATAAATTAGGATTGATTGACGTATTCAGTTATTTTCGGTTACGTCCTGTTTCACCGGAAATGACTACAACTTTTGATTTTTAAATGACACCCTCTGTATTCTTTTACTTTATTCGATAGAAAATGACACTCTGAATAGGACGACATATGTCAACTTTTGACATTTTTGTATATGGTTTATTTGAAATTATAACTTGGGGTTCGTAACGAAAATTTGACCCGAAATACCAAGTGTGTGGTATCAAATTATTCGTAAAAAAATGCTTTTTCCAAATATGATAATGAGCCACCCTCGTTCCATTTGAAAAAATTGATATATGATTAAAAATACGATTTGATCATTTTCTGATTGGCCAGGACAAGACACTAATAACATTAGACGATCCAATCTATTTTTCCAAGGCTCCTTGATTAAGAATTAGTGTTTTTAACATTGCCATGGCACTCCAGATTGAATTTTAAAATACGATTTTTTATTAAGCGATAATGTCAAAAGTTGACATACGATATGTCATTCTATTCAGAATGTCATTTTCTATCCAATAAATTAAAAAAAAAAATACCGAGGGTGCCATCTAAAAATCAAAAGTTGTAGTCATTTCCGGTGAAACCGGAAGTGACCAAAAACAATTGAATACGTCAATCAATCCTAATTTATGTTGTATACTAACATACCAAATCTCGTTTTTTTATCTGAAGAAATAAAAAAGTTATAGGGGGTGAGCCACTTTTGAGACGCACCCGGTATACAGGGTGTTTCAAAACAAATGCGAAAAACTTCAGGGGGTGATTCCTTGTTCAAAATAAAGGGTAGTTTGCTTCATAAACGTTGGGTCAAAAGTCAACCATTAGGGAGATATCGCGGTACAAAGATGGCGGAAAAATAATGTTCTTATTTTTTATCTTGAAAACGAAAAGAGATAGACTAATGAAATTTTATGGAAGCATTACTGTTATGAAAACACACTTTCTGGTAATTTTTTCACTTTTTAAAATGAGTGGAAGGGGTTGAAATAAACTACCCCTATCATTCTTGTTAATGAAATTTAAAGAAAAATCTTATCAAACACATGCAAAAAAATTAATTTGGATAGTTTAGTTTGTTTAGAAACTTTTTTATCTCTTGTATTTTTTTTATAAAACTCACGGATTTGAAATTAAAAAATAAAATGTAAAGCATTACATGTCAGGACTAAAAATATTTTTAGATTAAGAATCTAGTGATAATAATGATAATAATAATAATCTAGATAATAACGTATTGCAGTAGGGTAATAAATAAAACAATATTAGAAACATCCTAAAAAGTGACAGCGGCCGACTAGATTTTTTCCTAAAAAAATTACAGCTGCCCACTAGATTCTTTATTATATTTTTGCATGTGTTTGATAAGATTTTTCTTTATTAACAAGAATGATAGGGGTAGTTTATTTCAACCCCTTCCACTCATTTTAAAAAAGTGAAAAAATTACCAGAAAGTGTGTTTTCATAAGTAATGCTTCCGTAAAATTTCATTAGTCTATCTCTTTTCGTTTTCAAGATAAAAAATAAAAACATTATTTTTCCGCCATCTTTGTACCGCGATATCTCCCTAATGGTTGACTTTTGACCCAACGTTTATAAAGCAAACTACCCTTTATTTTGAACAAGGAATCACCCCCTGAAGTTTTTCGCATTTGTTTTGAAACATCCTGTATATCATTGTAATTATTAACAAATATATTTTCATTTTTAAAAATACGTTCTACTCAAAATACTTACAATACAAATGCAATTAAATTTGTAGCAAAAATACGGTAGTTGCAACTTAATAAATTAATTAGCTGGTTTTATATAGCGCGTATGTTATTTTTGAACTAAACCTTACTAACGTTTATTGCGAAAATATTTGTGAAACCTGGCGAAACACAATGTGTAACGAGTGACAATTTTATCTTTTGATAACGCTTGATTATAACTTTTCAATGTAAATAGTTACATTCAAAAGTAGCATGTTTTTAAAAAGAATGATTTACAACATCCGTCGCTTTTGTTCTTGGGATTAAGATTAATCATTTGTTGTCCTGTACGAATTGTTTTTCTCTGCTTGTGTTTGACACACCATAACACTGAAGAACGAAATAGTTTATTTCAACTTATAGACTTATACAGGGTGGTCCGAACTGTATTAAAAAATTAAAAACTTGTATAAATAAGATATAAATATGTATATCCTACAATGTTTAGTTTCGGAGATAGAGGGTGTAGAAGTTTCATTTTTATTTCGATATTTTCTAAATCTATACTAATATATAAAATCCTTAAGTGACTGACATACTGATTAATCACGATCCTGCTCAAACCACTCAACGTAAGAAGCTCAATTTTGGCATACAGGTTGATTCTAGGGTGTAGAGGTTCGATAAGAAGGGATTTTTCGAAATTCCAGTTCCAAGAGGGTGAAACCACCCCTCAAATATTACCTACAATATTTTTTATTTAAAAAACGGTCAAGTTTCCGAAAAAAACGCTTAAACACGTATATTTTATTTTGTTTTTTTACATAATTTAAGATTTTTTAAAAATGTATACAGGGTGTTTCGAAAAATCTGGTCATTGATTAATCACGATCCTGCTTAAAGCGCTTGACGTAAAACGCTGATTTTTTCGATTTCGAGGTTCGATAAGAAGGGATTTTTCGAAACTCGAATTCTAAGGGGGTGAAACTAATCCTTCAAATATTAAAATATTTATATATTTTTATAAATTTATACAGGGTGTTTCATAAAATATGACCATTGAGTAATCACGACTCTGCTTAAACTGCTTGACGTTTAAAGCTGATTTTTGGCAAACGGATTGACTGTGGGGTGTAGAGGTTCGATAAGGAGGGGTTTCTCGAATCTCATATTCCAAGAGGGTGAAAAACGCCCCTCAAATATTACAATATTTGTTATTTAAAAAACGGTTAGTCTTTCGGGAAAACGCTTGGACAAGCATAATTTATTTGGTTTTTTACATATTTTGAAATTTTTAAAAAATCATACAGGGTGTTCCAAAAAGTTGGGTAATTTCTTAGCCACGATTCTGCTTAAACTGCTTGACGTAAAAAGCTTATTTTTGGCAAACGGATTTTTCGAAAGTCAAATTCCAACGAGATGAAACTATCCCTCAAATATTACCAAGTTATATAATAATATCGCCATATTGTTTTTTCTCATGCTGATATAAAAGTTAATTATGTTAGGTAGCATTGCTGTTTACATAAAAAGCCATGAAACCACTTATAATATTGTACAGAATATTCACTAATTTTAAAAAGAATAACTTATCACGTTTAAAAATATTTATATAATTTTTGAAATCTTAAAGTTTGTTAAAAAACTGTATCATAAATCGAGAAGAAAATATTTGTATATCTAAATTTAATTATTTTGTTTGCTTAAGTGTTATAAATCAATTTAGATATTAGATTGTAATGATTACGTGACGAATGATTTATCTCATTCATCATCGAGAATAAAAAAAATTAAATATAGTTAGCATTATAGGCAACTAAACATTCAACAGGTACACTATAGTTTTCTGTTTTATTTGGCAAATTAAAGTTGATGTAAACGCTAAATATATTTCGGTAATTTTAGGCAAGATTTTCCACTGAATTAGATAAAAATAAAATAACATTTAATCATAACCAAATCACCTTCACAAATTTTGATGAAATTAGACATTTGATTATTTTATGATAAGGTATGAAAAGATATTATGAAGTTTGAACCTATTGATATGGTAATATTTTTCAAAAAGAAGTTTTGAAAATATTGCATTGTCTCTTAATAATTAAAAAAATAAGGACAGGAAAACAATATAGCATACGAACATCTTTCAAAACCTAAAATACACTTAGATCCATTTTAACACACACTAAACCAATGAACACTGGACAACAAACAAAAAATGTAATATATAAAATACCATGTGAATGTGATAAATTTTATATTTGTAAAACATCTAAACCTTTAAATATTCGAATTAAAGAACATAAAGATTATTTAAGAAAGGGCGACTTTCACAAATCTAAGATTTGTTAGCATTTATGGGGCACAGGGCACAAAATGGATTTTAACTACGCAAAAATTGTAATGAGAGAAGCGATATCCTCTAAAAGAAAAATAAAAGAGGTTTTTTTAATACAATCTAATAAAAATAAATGTATTGCTCATGCATCAGTAGATGTTAGTAATGTATGGCAATCGCTTCTTTGATTTTAAAGAACCTAATACATAATATACGTAAAAATTAAAAACAAATTAAAAATAATCATACAGAAAGTTTGAAGCTTTTTGGTTTTACCTTATTGAGTAGTAATTGTTAGTTTTGAAGTTTAACTTTTTATAATGTTGGCAATACCTTTTAAAATTTAGTCTAAACATTTTCTTATGTTAAAAATCATTCGGTGTAAATTATGTTGGTACCCTTGTAATGGAAAATTTATAATAAACCTATTGAACCCTAACGAAAAAAATACGGAATTCCATTTCAAAATCTACAACATTTGGATAATATTTTGAATCACCATAAATATGCGGTATTGTTACTCGCATTATTTTCTGGAAATTGGATTGAAACTGAATTAAAAAACTTGATATGGAGCTTGTTCGGGGTTACCCTGTATTTATTGCACTATTGGTACTGTCTGAAAGGCTGCAATGAGAAAATCTACTGTCTGAAAGTGTTAATCTTCATTCAGAACCTCGCAATTAGTGAACTAAATTAGTGGTTTCAATTGAAGGGTGGCTGCAATAACCAGGCAGCTCCACTTTTTTACGAAAATGAGATTTTTACTGAATTGTCCTTTAAAAAATAGTCCAATCATTCCCCGCAGCAATCAGATAACTCCATTTTTAGAATTTTTTAGAATTTAGAATGAGTGGGAGGGGGGTTAATCACTTCGACCTTACAGATCCATTGTGTCCCCCTTTCTTGAATCATAACTCATCATACAGTCCCAGGGCTTTGACAAAAGCCAGTATCTGGGACGGTTTTATAGAGGGTAGTTCTCCATCTCCAATATCAGTCGTACCAAAATTCATGGCACGAATGGTTGTCGTCTCGGCGCACTCAGTGATGAGGTGTACTGGTGTTTCACCATCTTCCCCACAGAATCTGCATTCGCCGTTTCTTCTTAGTTTCAATCTACTGAGGTGTTCATGAGGAGACAGTGTCCTGTTAAAAACCCCGTGACAATCCGAAGATTGTTCTTACTTAAACCCAGGAAGATCTGTGATTTTTCTTAATCATAAGCCCTCAGAAACTTCTTCGAGTGTCTTAGACCGTTGCAAGATTTCCATTCCAGGTTGCGGATGGAATCTTCCAAGTTCTTGAGTTCCGCCTTGAGTTGGTTACCACTTGGAAAGCAGAACGGTTCTGGTCCAGTTAGTGGAGTGTTCGCTCCTTTCCTAGCTAGATTATTTGCTTTTTTATTGCCTTCTATCCCTTGGTGAGCAGGCACCCAGTGTAGGAGGACTTAGGAGTAACTCCATTTAACAGTACATAAATGACAACGTTATTTGGAGTTAACTAGTTTGACCAGTATAATTTTAATCTAACCTAACCAACTAGCTTTTAGTTCTATTTCTATTCGATGGTACAAAAATCCAGTGACAATATAACAAAAACAAGAATTTTTGAAAATTTTATTTTATTTTATTGTTTAAATTTATACGTAAACCTTAATCGAAATTAAAGCGCTTTAATTTTTTGCCAAATACATACCTATAATCTACCAGTAAAATTTTCGGCGCAACAAAAATTGTCCCTACTTTTCAAACCCTATTAATGATTTTTTATATTACATATTTGTTGTACCTTCTGGCTCTACCCGCCATTTTCATTGTCGAGTAAAGTCCCCTTTTTAACAATCCACATCTTCTAGATTCATTTTACGACACGCTTAAAATATAATTTGCTCCTAATATTCTTCGGTAAAAAATAAAATACTCTTTTACCTCACTAAATGATCAAATGTTTTTATTGTTCTGTTTCTTAGTTGTGACCACGTAATACACAATAAAACAAGTTTTATAATAGTTATATAACGCTGTGTAAAATAATTGCATAAGAGTTGTATACACTTTTTATAGAGCTTCTATACTACTAAACGGTTGTATAAAAATGGGCCTTTTTTGGTTGTAAAGCTATCATATTACGGTCTTATAGCACGTTATATGAATTGAGATATCCTATAAAAATTATCACATAGCTGTTTATACAGCCTTTATAAAATAAAATTTGCTACTTGGGGTCTGCTTGGTCTGGGCCCGGCATTAGACTTTCTCTATGGATACAACTGACTAACTCAAGCTGTTGCTAGGATATTCTATTAATTTTATTTAGTGTTTTTTAAACTTTGTGAATGATCGTAAATTAAAAAGTATAAAGTGTTTAATTTATTCCACTAATTGCGAGGTTCTGAATGAAGCTTTACTGTAATAATGCAGTGGCAATGTAAATTTTTAAACAATCAAATAATATCGTAATCGAGCAAGAAATTATTTTGTCGATAACGCGTGCAAACAATAAAAAAAAACTATATTAATAATGCAGTACAGTGGCAGACAAGCACCTTACTGTTCTAGCAAATATTTTATATATACCGACGTGGATACATGAAAATCGACAAAAAATCGATCGTCCACGTAATATATTCAGTTTTTGGCAGATAATGTACTTAATTCTAAAACGCACATAATTGAAGATTATTATTATTATCAGCTCGGCTAGGCTGTTAATCTGATATCGCTGATAAGCAAAGTAAGTAGGATCATTGTCAGAGACACTTTAAATGAGGCTTGTTTAGTTAAATTTGCACCTTGGTTGCAGGGACGTGTAAACGAAATAAAAAAATAAAATGGCTTCCCAAAAAGACCTAGATTTTGGAATGAGATGCATAAAGTATATGTTATGCGTCGCCAACGTGATGTTTGTGGTGAGTAAACTTCCTTTTCTAGTGCACTTCTTGAAAATACCTTTACTTGCTAATAATTAGAATCCTTAATTGATGTTGTGTTTTTGATTCATTGACCGGAAAGACGTATATATGTATTTAAAACAATCTCTAAAATTGTTCATAGATAAAACTACCTATCGCTATTTTTAAGTGATCAAAAATCACATGTGACGTGACCGTTACTATTTAGTTGATAACATTGTTTTACATACATGTTAAAATATAACATATCTGATTGAAGGAGAGCAAAACAACAACAATTAAATTTCACAGAGTCTAAATAACAATATTAATTATATTTGTTCGGGAGATTTTTCTTAGATAAGAGTACTTGAGAAAAAAGATATTTTCTTGCATATTTAATTTAAAAATAGACCTATATAATATACACTTGAGTCTTGAGTAAGGGGTATATTTCCATAGACTAATATTCTAGTTGTACTGGGTGTATTATTTTATTATTTATTTATTTATAAAATACCTGATTTTATGGTTTTCCATGTCCATCCTTCACAAAGAACAAAACGAGAGCAAGTGCAATTTCCTAAAATGACTTTATACAAATATATTTTTTATTTCCTTAACTAATAATTTTAAACATTTTTAGTAATATAATTTGACAGTAGCTTGATGTATTAAAAGATAACGTTACTGTTTTTTTTATTCTAATACAGTTATCCGGTATCTAATACACCTTTATAGATCTAAAACAATATGTAATAAATAATTAAGAAGTCTGTATAGAATTTCTTAACAATACTTTATACCTACTTATTACATGCTGTATTTATTGATTAAACTTAGTACAGGATATTTTTAACAATGACTACTGTTAATCGATCAAATTGCTATTAATTATAAGGAAAGCATGATCATTTTGGTCGATAATTACTAAATTTATGTTTTTAATACCTTGTTTTACCTTATTAAAGCACAATAATTCTTAATTATCTTCTTAACCGAATACGCAGATTTGTGTTAATCCTGTTTTATTAAAAAAAAATAACAAACAATAGATTAAAATATGTACATTTTTTCCCAATTATTGTTTTCAAAATTAAGTTAGATAATTTAGTATGTAAGATAACAGCTTAACCATGATTATCATCGAAGAAAAAACGGTGCCAAGTTATTTTTTAGAAAATCAAAAAACTATTTGCACATTTTCATAGCCACCTTATTAGGGTTATCTGATAGTATTTTTAGATTTTCAAAATAGGTGATAATTTGTGGGATACAGAGGCCGGCTTAATTTTTTTAAATACGGCTCTGCATTTTTTATTTCAGATTTTGCAAGAACTTGGTCTCCTGAGTACAATGATATGCCACACTTTTTATATTAAGTCCGGCTCTGTTTTTTTTTAATATTTAATCTATTCATCGTTACAATATTGATAAGCCTTCAAACTAAAATTGACGTTGGGTTAAACATTGTATACGAAAAATCAAATGCAATAAAAAATAAAAAAAAAACATAAAAAATAATATAAATATAATATAATATAAACAATCAAATAATTTCCCCGGAAGATGGATTGGAAATGGTGGAGCAGCATAATGGCCAGCGAGGTTCCTGAACCTGTTGCCAAGGGGCGCGGGCGGGGGCATTACCTTAACGTCATTTATAAAAGTGAAATCAATAGATCATATACATTGAGATTTCAAATTCACAGAAAAATTAAAAATAATATCTTTTAAATTGCTGACCTGATTGAAAGTGTGGCCAAAGACTACATAGACTATAATGAATAAATTCCTAGATAACAGTTGAGTATCAGATTTGAAATAAATACTGTCTTAAAGGTAGTTTACTCTTGACTCGAAAAATATCAAACCCCATTAAAACGTACGTCTATGAGGTATCGCATTTCTTGCCCTGGGCAAAATGTACGTCTTATAGCCATACAGCCTCCTGCCAAAAATGAAAAAGATCGCTCAACAAACAATCAAGATATTGGCTTGTATCCATCTTAAGTGGGACACCCTGTATATATTCTCCTACTATTTCCAGTATTGTGTTATTTCTTAGAATGTCTTTTCTTTCTACTAGTTTGTTGTACATATTATTATGCTATTTACTTTTAATATATATATTTTTCTGTAGTTGGTAGGATTGCTATTGATATCCATTGGATATACAATCAAGAGCATCTACACCAATTTTGAAGAATTTATGGAAACCTATTACTACAATCCAGCAACTCTTTCCATTGTAATTGGATTCTTCATCTTCATCATTGCTATGTTTGGCTGCGTTGGGGCTATTAGAAAGAGCACTTTCTTGGTAAACACGGTAAGTTGTTCTAATATTCCATTAAGATAAAGATTAAATATATTTAGATAATTCACAATTTTAAGTGATAATATGTTTCTTTCCAGTATGCCTTTTTGTTAAGTCTGGTCCTAGTTTTGGAAATTTCTGTGTGCATTGCGGCGTACGCGATGAGGTCCAACATTGAGAATAACATTGCTTATAATATGAGAGTTGCAATGAGTCACTACGATATGGAATATAATGCTTTCACCTGGAACTCCACACAGTACAATGTACGTATAAAAATATATCATATAGTTCAGTTGTAATATTTTACCGATTTTTATATTATTTTATTTACACTGCATAGGGTATGCAGATGACATAGTCATCATTGCACGGGGGAAACATGAAGGCACCCTGTGTGATATTATCCAAAGAGGACTCCGCCTCGCTGAGAGATGGTGCAGGACTGTCGGGCTGAGTATTAACACAGATAAAACCGCAGTAGTGCCATTCACCAGAAAGCGAAGTTTGAAAAACTTGAAAAGAATCCATCTAGATGGAAAGGAAATACTGCCATCACAGGAAGTGAAATATCTGGGAATAACCCTGGATAGTAAACTTCTCTGGAACAGGCATATTGAGAACATTACCAGCAAAGCCACAAAGGCTTTCATGATAGGCAGAAGACTGGCGGGAAATAGGTGGGGCTGCGCCCCTAACATTTTGCGCTGGATGTATACCATGATAGTAAGACCCATGATTACTTATGGAGCAGTTGCTTGGTATACAAAACTAGAGCAACGTACAGCAAGGCAAAACCTGTGCAAAGGACAGAGACTGGCATGTATCTGCATCACAGTGCCATGAGAACATGTCCAACAGCAGCAATGGAGGTCATTCTAGACCTAACACCACTGCACATTGTCGTCGGTAGTTACGCCAATGCGACAATGATTAGAATGGTCATTGACGGAAATAGTACTGGGAGAATTTTCAGGTCAGTGGCTTGGAACACCCTCAAAAAGAAAATTCCACTTCTCCAACTCCCAGTGGATGACATTCCAAGAATTTACAACTTTGAGAAACACTTCACTGTAGTATTGAGTAATAAAAAGGATTGGGAAGAAAGAAACGCTTAGTCAGCATATAAAAGATCATACCATCACGTGGTATACTGATGCTTCCAAAACCAAAGCAGGGACAGGGATAGGAGTATTTGGGCCGAAAACTAAATACTCCGAACCAATGGGCACCTACCTCAGTATCCTTCAGGCAGAAATTTGCGCTATCGAAAGATGCGTACAATTTATCTTAGATAGGAACTATCGAAAACAGGAAATTGCCATCCTATCCGATAGTCAAGCAGCACTTAACGCGATCAACTCAGTAACCATCATTTCGAAGTTGGTCAAAGAATGCCTAGAGAAGCTCAACAAATTAGGCAAAGAAAATAAAGTCTTCCTACTCTGAGTGCCTGCTCACCAAGGGATAGAAGGCAATGAAAAAGCAAATGATCTAGCTAGGAAAGGAGCGAACACTGCACTAACTGGACCAGAACCGTTCTGTTTTCCAAACGGGAACCAACTGAAAGCGAAACTGAAGAATCTGGAAGACTCCATCCGTAACTTGGAATTGGTGTCCTCCAACAACGGTCTAAGACACTCGAAAAAGTTCCTCAGAACTTATGACCGAGAAAAATCAAAGGTTTTCCTTGATTTAAGTAAAAACAATCTTCGGATTGTCACGGGGTTTCTAACAGGACACTGTCTCATCAACAAACACCTCAGTAGGCTGAAACTGAGAAACAACGGCGAATGCAGATTTTGTGGGGAAAATGGGGAAACACCAGAACACCTTATCACTGACTGCGCCGAGACGACGACCATTCGTGCCATGAACCTTGGTACGTCTGATGTCGAGGATGGAGAGCTGGCCTCTGTGGAGCCGTCTTAGATACTGGCTTTGGTTAAAGCGCTGAGACTGTATGATGAGTTATAACTCGTTATAACTCAAGGAAGGGGAACAAACAATAGATCTATAAGGTCGCAGTGATTAACTCCCCTCCTAAACATTCTACATTCTACATATTATTTTATTATATTTATTTTCAATTGGATCTTGGATCTCTACTAAAAAAAATATGGTATGGGATATATTTTTGAGTGTTGAGCAATTATATACAATTTTTGGTATAGGTACACTAAAAACAACAGCGCTCATTATACTTTAACATACAATTATTTATCCTCAATTTTGAGAAGAGCAACTGAAAAATTGGATTTTCTCTCATTTTTTGGTTCTGTCTGATGAATTTACTCGTTGAACAGATTTTACATATTACTAGTAATGTCATATCCTGTCAAATGTCTTAGTTATTTGTATAATCAATAAATTTTAAAAACAGGTTCTGTTATTACAGGGTGGTCCTGTCTTACAGGGTGGTCCTGTCACTGTATTCCGGAAACTTCGACAGCATATTCTGCAGATAAAAATAAGTAAAAAGTTCGTATAGATGTATGTCTTAAAATTCTTATTTTCGGAGATACAGGGTGTTGAAGTTTAATTTTTATTTCGATTTTTTTTAAATAATTTCTGAACTAACGTCAATATTTGGATGAAAATTGGTCTCTGGGAGTTTTTTGACATGAGAAATTTGATTTTGATATCAGTATGACTCATATTTGTAGGGGGCGCCACCTACATATTTTTTTAACTAGTTTGAATAGTAATAACTTTTCGTCTATACCTGTATAAAACTACTGAGTAAAAAAATACATTAACGACGTTTTTTACGTAAAAAAATGTCTCTTGGTAAAAATCGCTACGAGTAATGTTAGTTAGAGTACGAGTAATGTGTGTCGTCAATGACATAAATTAAACATGTTGTTGAAACTAAATAGTTATTAGACTAAAATCATAATTATTTTAAAATGTTTTTGTGCCAAACGTTTGACAGAAACTGTTTTATCATCATTTTTTCAACATTAATTTAAAAAAATAGAAACTTCCCAAATTTATTATTTCAGTTAAATAGCTATCTCCTCGACATGTTAATTTTTTTGTCAAGTTTGTAGTTTTATACAGGTACGGACAAAAAGTTTTTACTCTTCAAAACAGTTAAAACACATATAGGTGGCGCCCCCTACAAATACGAGTCGTATTGACATCAAAATCAAATTTCTCAAGTCAAAAAATTCCCAGACACCAATTTTCATCTAAATATTGACGTTACTTCAGAAATGATTTGGAAAAAAAATCTTAATAAAAATGAAACTTTAACACCCTGTATCTCCGAAACTAAGCGTTTTAGGACATACATTTATACGAACTTTTTTACTTATTTTTATCTGCAGAATATGCTGCCGGATTTGGTTTGATATTTTTTATTTTTTTGGGACACTCTGTATCTTGTAAAAATATTTTTAAATTGTAGCTCTAATAGTCCTTCAACGAACCCCAAACTTACAATTTGTAAAAATCTCATCGTTTAGCTACAATACTCCGTGTCGTATGTGGTGAACAACCCTGTATAGTGTTTCGAAAATTTTAAAGATTTTGAATATGTTTGGAGTATTAATACATATAGATCTCTCAACTCTAAGACACTAGAAAAAACAATATATATAGATAGCTTTAAGCAAATGTATTACTTTATAGTTATTTTGTAATTTGACCTCCAAGCTGTTTTTGGCAAATAAAGAAATAGCTAAAAACATTAAACGACTATTTTCACCAAGCATAAAACAACCCAAACGGGTTCATCTTTTCATATTTTTCAATTTTAATATTAAACACATCCTGTATATTAGAAGTATATTATACAGGGTTGTCCAAACTGTATTGCCGTTTGAAGCTAATAATTATTTAAAATAAATTTTTAGACACTCTGTATAAGGTAGTATTATTTTTATTATTGCAACACAATAACTGATCAGTAAATAAACTTCAGTAAATATTTAGTATTAAAAACTTTGATACCCTTGGAGAAATGAAGCCTTAAAATTTTTACTGCAATTTCACAAAATTGAAAATATTTCAAAAACGGTAAGGTTTAAGTATAATAAACCTTAATCAAATTTACCTTTATTTTAATCGTAGAAAGTAAAAATGTAATAATATACAGGGTGTTCCATTTAAAAAAATACAACTTTGATATTTTTTACTTATTTGGGACACTCTGTATCTTGTAAAATTATTTTTAAATTGTACCTCTAATAGTCCTTCATCGAACCCAAAACTTACAATTTGTAAAAATCTCATCGTTTAGCTACAATACTCCGTGTCGTATGTGGTGAACAACCTTGTATAAACTTGTCATTTTTAGTTCTGCACCTAAAAGAAAAAATAAAGTTGCAGGACTACTGTATGCATCCTTTCAATTAGTTAATTACATATATTTTCACACAGTTACAATGTTGTGGTGTCGATTACTACGAGGATTGGAACGTATATTCCGAAAGAACAAACTTTCCATTAGTTGCAGTTGAGGTCAATAACCAAACTATGCACATGCCTACAACTTGCTGTGAATTCGAAGTTTGCACTCCAGGTAGTATCTATCTGCGTGGTTGCTTGCCTAGACTTTCCAGCATCATTTCCCAATGCGCATTACTATTGGCTGTCGGAGCTCTCTGCGTTTCAATGATACAGGTAGGTACCATAGGAAATTAAGTAGTTTTATAGCATCAAATCATGGATTTTTATTTATTTATTGATTTAGGTGAAATATAAAATTGGTGTTCGGATTTGCTTTGAATTTGGCATGTTTCTTTCTGAATACTTTGTTGCTTTTTGTCCAAAGGTTTCCGAATAATCGCGTTTCAAAGTCGCCTAAAGGTTTTCAGGGTTGTGTTTACACAAAAATTATTGCAATGGGTCTCCTTGTAGCACAAATGATTTACATTTTTTTAGAGGAGTCGTAATACTAATAAACAGAAAACATCATAAACATTAACGTTTCTTTGATCGTGATTTGTATCTATGTGACAAAACTTTCAAGATTTTGTCCGTTATCATGGTAGTGTGGCCTTTATATTATTATTATAATTAAAATAATTTATTGAGCGGTAGGCAGAACTTGGATTAATGAGAGCACCGTCTTTTCAGAGCGTAAATAGAGTTTATTGTTTATATATAAGAAAACAAAATATAACCAGCTAAAATTAGAAATTAAAGGTATCGCACTTTTATAGAAGGGCTCTTTCTAAATTCAGTTACTATAAACTCTATTGCCACTTACCTTATTACGTCAACATCCATCAGCAATACATCAACAACAAGAACCTGTCGAAGATTTTACTGATCCCCTTGTAGATCTACCTCTTCGGTCTTGGACTCATACTTCAGATTGAACCACTCGACAGGTTATCACAGTGTTCTTTTAAATAACTTAATATTTTAGTGATTAGGTGAAATAAAGAAATAAAATGCCGATTTTTCACAACACCTAACTATATTTAATATAAAGAAATAAATAAATAAAAAAATAAAGAAAAAGATTTAACAACAAAACATTTATAATTAATGAAAAAGAAAGAAATTGAATCAAAAATAATTAATGACAATTAGAGAATTGAAATTAAAAGTCAGAGATGATAAAGTTAAAAAAAATACAAAATATTCTTCTTATTAGTCCAATTTAAATTATCTACAATTCGCATACACTCTCAAATCTCTCTTAGAATTATCGTTGGCAGAAAATTAATATGTTAAAAAAATATTCACCCAACAATTAAATTTAAATTAGAATTTAATAAAAAGAACAATTGCAAAATAATCACTTATGCAATGACATCTAAATTTTACTGAAGCGTTTAGAAGAAACAGAAAGTCTTAAATAATTAATAAAGAAAAATATTAGAGAAAATCCAAAAACAACAATTAAAATACTTTAAGCATGAATAGTTTAGAATTTCCTAACTTGAGAATTTATTTGAGACAATCTTTAGATAGAGAACTTACTAAAGCAATTAAAAAGACCACTGGATAATATAAGATCTACACGGAGTAAATTCGACCGTCTAATTTAAAAGTCAGTACCGAACTCATTTTGAAGATGAAAATACTGATGTTGGTACTATCTCGGAAAGGCGTTACTACATCTTCGGCACGCCCCTGTTTGAGGAACCTTCGAATACCCATCCAAATGCATATTTTGCACCTTTTTAATTGGCCGAAGGGTTCCTTCCCCGAAAGATCCCTAGACTTCTTTCACCTGTGTTTCTGGTCCTTATCCCGAGAGGGCATCAGCATGTCCTATTTATTAATTAAATGTAATTTTTTAAACCCTTCCGTGTAAATCTTTCTCTTTTACCAATTTGCTGAATAATATTCATAATCTAAGCCTTAACTAATACAAATGATATCGTGCCATAGGATTACCTTAGAAAAAAACCGCCTAGAAATTAACTCTTTATTTCTTCACATTTTTGTCTATTTCTATTTAACTCTAGGAACGGAAACAAAGATAATCCTATTTCTATCATTTTCAGACATTCATCTCGTGAACATTTGGATTCTGATTTTAAAACATATATTTAATACTTTTAATTTTCAATGTAAAACCTCTAGCGAGGGGATGATTTAATTTTACTTATTTCCTTAAGCATGCCTACCTGCTTTTTCTGCGTTGTTTATTTTGAGATATCCCTAGGGTACACAACTGGTACCACTCTGTCAAATAGAGTTTTGATAATAAGGGATGAATGTTTGTTCTACTTTACCCTCGTTTATGTGACTTTAAATTATTTAGAAGATTGTATTATTTGCTTAGTTAGTTTCTCAGGATATATGCGTACTTTTAGAGAGTTTATGTGTCTTGAATATCATTAGATTATTTGCTTAGGCCTTTTAAAATTCGTTTGCCTATGTCGACTGATAACTTCGTAAACTGAAATGGTCCCATCTTAGAATAACAAACCAAAAAGATAAAATTTTACAGAGCTTGATATTATTCTATTACATCTAAATATGCTTCAAGAGACTATTGATCCTCTTATCACCCAAGAGCTACAAACTCAAATTGATGCAGAGGGTAATCCAGTTTTGCAGGAGGATTTGTTAACACTCCAGCAGGATAGTGCTCTACCTCATTATGTTTTTCCGGTTCGACAGTAGTTAAACGAGAGATTTTTGGGTACATCGATTGATAGAAGGGGACCAATTGAATAGCCTCCAAGATCACCGGATTTAACACCTTTAGACTTCTTTCTTTGGGGACATATTAAATCCATTGTTTATAAAACACAATCTACTGATATTGATGATCTAAAAAAGCGAATTGCAGTAGAATTTCGGTCAATTCCCGGTGAAGTTTTCCGAAATGTTAGGGAGGAGTTTGAAAATAGACTTTATTATTGTTTATAGAAAAATGGAAAACATTTTGAACAACTTATAAGATAGGGCGTAAGTGGTGTAACCTAATCTTATAATCATTTGTGCTACAAGGAAATACATTGGAATCATTTATGTGTAAACACTAGTCTGAAAACCAAAATCTCAACGCAGGCGTGTTTAATTGTTTCTGCAACTTTGAAACGCGATTATTCGGAAATCTATGGACAAAAAGCAACATAGTAGGATACCATTTAAAGGAGAATTAAACGCTCTTTAAAACGATGTGCCACTTGATCCCCATTCCCATTTAAGATTGTAAGTTTGACATGTGGTTGACAAAAGACTAAAAATATTCATTTAATTTCAAAAGGACATTTTTTGAAACAATTATTGAGTTAGTGGCAGGTATTTTTGTAGTATGTAGTTTTAAACTGACAAAACTGAAATAATTTTTAGGTCCTGGGTATTGTATTTGCACACATGCTGGCTAAATCTATCAGGAAACTCAAGACCCAAATGCTGATTGCCAAAGAAGAAAGGAGAAGACATTTTTATGAACAAATGGTGAAAAATGAGAGCGAAAAATCTAAGAAAGACATATTTGCTCCTCAAGAATCCAATGCTTAAAAAAGACAGTACTTAAATTAATCTATATTGTAACGATTTTTTTCTTATCGTGTTCCTTCACAGGCTTTAACTGAATCATATAATTTGTTTGTACATTCTAGTATTTTATAACCTTATGCAAATTTATATTTTATTATATAGATAGAGATTAAAAATATGGTTAAACAGATAATAAAATTAATTTGTTTTGGAAAAAATCGAATTTTTTAATAAAGCATACTTTTTTTTCTCCAAAATTTTGATGTTAGCAAGATAGGTAGAAAAATAAACGAACAACTGAAATATTTTATTTTCAAATTAAAATATTTAGTGTCCTTGATGTGATAGGTCGTTACATACATAGGGGGTATCTATTGAAGTTGTTACCATCATTTTACAATATACTTTATATTACACGAATTTGTGTTTTGAATGAATAAAAATAAACAAAAACCAAAACAACAATAACTTACACGCTAGAAGTTTGCCATCATTTAATTAGTCAATATGTACAATTAGTTTATATTGAGAGTCGCCTATCTCTTATATTTTACTATGTGTTCAGTAGGGTGAGCCAAAAAAAAAAACAACCTATGGAATATGTGGGTTGAAATGAACCTAATGACCGAGAAAAAAATATCCCCGAGCTCAATTTTAAAAGGTGTCGGTGAACATTCAAAATTTTCCATGTAAATAACACGTAAAAAATCTTTTTCCATTAAAGGTACCAGAAACTTTGAAACGGTTTACCATAAAAAAAAATAGATCACGGATTCTTGTAGAGCGTGAAATTTCCTAAGAAAACTATCTGAGCGTAATTTTTTTCAATTCCGTAACTCGTATATTTGAAAGTTTTGAAAAGTGAAAAAAATCAAAAAATGCAGAATTAATAACGAGTGTATAAATTATTTCAAATGGTTGTGGTTTGGTTGTTTGTCGTTCGTAATCGTTCGAACAGTTGCTAAGAAGACTTGTTTGTTTCCACGGTTTTTGCCAAAATTCCAGCAAAAACCCCACAAGTCAAATAAATTCACGTCCTTCCAACCAAACCAAACTTAAAAATAATAACAAAAATAAAGAAAACTAGTTTTCTGTTATTTCAGATTATAACCAGAGCTCACACAAAAAAAACGGCAATTTAAATTTAAATGGGAGCGAGATACACGTTTTTTTTAGTTTTTCCAAATTTCGAAATATCTCGTAAGTATACACGGTTTTGGACCTGAACAACTAAAAGCAATTTCTAAGATAATTTTTGGAGCTGAATCCAAATCAGCAGTCCATATTTTAAGATGAAGACAACAGAAACGTTCATTTTCATAACTTATTATTATATTGATTTCTGATTCCAAATCTACATTTATTTAGAATAATTTATTAACTAACACAATTAAATATGTAATTAATTAATATTTGGGCGGAAATAATGGTGTTATATTTAATTAATGGTATACTTTTTTATAAAGATTTAAATAGTTTTATTTTTGTATACAAATAGGCTGGTAATATTATCGCTTTTAGCATCTGCACATTTTGTTGTGTTTGTACATTTGTTGCTTTAAAAACAATCTAAAATGTCAATATTCCATGGGTATATTGATAAATTAGGTGTAAATTATAAGAAAATACATTTTCTACGAGAACTTGAAGAAATAGGTAAAAAATGGTATAATACAATTTGATGGACAATTAAACTGTGCATCTGATTCTCCTAAAATATACAGGGTGTTCCATTTAAATTAAACAAGTTATTGCCGTTTAAAGCTAGATATTATTTAAAATAAATTTATAGACACTCTGTATGAGGTCGTATTATTGCTATTATTGCAACACAATAACTGATCAATAATTAAACTTCAGTAAATATTTAGTATTAAAAACTTTGATACCCTTGGAGAAATGAAGCCTTAAAATTTTTACTGCAATTTCACAAAATTGAAAATATTTCAAAAACGGTAAGGTTTAAGTGTGATAAACCTTAATCAAATTTACCTTTATTTTAATCGCAGAAACTAAAAATGTAATAATATACAGGGTGTTCCATTTGAAAAAATACAACTTTGATATTTTTTACTTATTTGGGACACTCTGTATCTTGTGAAAATATTTTTAAATTGTAGCTCTAATAGTCCTTCAACGAACCCAAAACTTACCATTTGTAAAAATCTAATCGTTTAGCTATAATACTCCGTGTCGTATGTGGTGAACAACCCTGTAAAGAGGGGAGAGATATATATAGGCAATTTTAATGCTGCTATGGAAAAAACAATATTTTTTAACAATATTATTCTATTTTATTTAAATCTAGTTTTTTTGCTAAATATGGAAATTTTTAATCAACAAACACTAAAACTGCATTTTTTTCACTTTTCAAAGCTTTTAAATATACGAATTATTGTATTGAAAAAATTACTCTCAAGGGCCGGCTACACGCACAGGCTTTACCGAAGACTTACTTGCGCAAACTGGTTTGTATCGGGAAGCCCGTGTATGTGGACGGTAAAACGGTAGCACGCACAAATCAACAAGTGCGGCCTGCGTAAACGTCGCGCTGCTAAAGTGGCGGCTATACGGTAGCGACTTGCCTGCACGGTATAGTTTGCGCAAACTAGAAGGAGCACCAGGCGGATGAAACTGCCATTTGAATTTTGGAAACACGGCGGAGTTTCTGCCAGTAGAGGGATAGATGGCGCTGCGTAGAAATTTCATCCAAAGTCCCTAGATATTCATCTAGGGACTTTAATTTCATCATGATTTTATCAAGTCATCCACAGAATATAGTTTAATTAACAATTCGTTTGATTCTCTGTGGAGTAATTGGAGTAGTTGGAGTAGTTGAAAAATATAAATATTTATATAAAATGTTGATAATTTAACAGCGATGTGCTTTGTTACCCTATGAATAAACATTGATATGAAGTTGCTTTCGCCAGAAACAATTATAATTAAATAATTTAATAAAAATTTAATTTCTAAGTGACCCGGATCAGTTAGATCAGTAAAATAAATTGAAAAATAAACGTCATTCCATATCTGGCAATGTCTGTCAGTTTCTGTGAAGTGGAAGTGAATTGTGATTTGTTTTTATGGGAATATTTACGGATTTTTGCGAATTTAGAGTATTTTGGACGATAGGATTGTGAAATTTAAAAGCCAAGTAGTTTCATATATAAGATTAATTAATCCCTGTGATAATTTTTATGAAATTTCTCATAATCAAAACAAATTCTTTCAACAAAATGGCTGTCTCAGAAATTTGGAAGATCATTAATTTTAAAGTTTTATTTAAGTGTATTTATATCGAATCAAGAATTTGTATAACATATTAAAAGCTTAATTTTAAAGGTTGTGCAGTAATTTATGTAAGTGTACGCTTTTAGATAAATATTAAATATACAAATTTGCAAAGACAAACAAGTAATTTTAAAAAGATCATTTATTTATTTAAACGAGTATAATCATTAATCATTAGGTTGAAAATATATTTGTATTTACTTATTTATATATTTTCTATACCCTTGTATTATTTATAAGCCCTATATGTCCTGTTTTATTTGAAAAAAAAATGCTTCGAGTCATCGAGAATAGATTTAATAACAATTTTGTCCCTTGGCTTTGTGTATTATATAATGTGAATTGTAAGATGTTTCTATTTGAATAGGTCATTAAAGTTGAGATTAAAGTTATACCAAATTATATTCACGGTAACTATATGTCTTTTATATAATGAATTATTTATTTATAATTTATAACCTTTTTTATAATTACTTATAACTGATTGTATAAATTCTGATAACTTTTATATATACTTGTATAGTGTTGAATGTGTTATATGTAATTTTATTAACAATGTTATAATAAAATAATCAAGTTACAAATTTTTCGTGTTTTATTCTAATTTCAGGGATAATTTCAACCTAGATTATTAATTTATTTGTATCAAAATACATTATTTTTATTTTGTAAAATGTTTTGTTACAAATAAGTTCATAATCTAGATTGAAATTACCAAATATAAGTAAAAAACTTATGAACTGGCAGTAAAGGTCCATTTAAAAATATGGCGCGAACTTTTAGTTCTGCCAGTAGCCCGCTTGGATCGCGTCGAGCGTTTGTTTCCAGGCTTTAACATAGCAGTTTTCATTTCTTTCAGTTAGTTATTCTATGAGAAGCACTGTGCGGTGTCCACACCATGCAAGTAAGAGCATACATTCATCATTATTTTTATTTTGAATTTGTTTCCGTTCGTGGAAATGTCAAGTAACGAATTACTGTTTTTTTATTGCTTATTGTTAAAGAAAAAAACGGCAAAATAAACGGTATAGTTCGAAGTGGAGTAAAAACTGACTTTTAAATAGAAAACCATTTCCTTGTACGCATCATTTTTTTCTGTTTGTATACACTATATACTGCTGTAAACCGTTTCGAAGTTATGGTACCTTTAATGGAAAAATATTTTTTTACGTGTCATTTAAATGGAAAATTTTGAATGTTTATCGACACCTTTCAAAAATGAGGCAAAATTCCTGCCTGCTGGGGATATTTTTTTTCGGTTTAACCCATAAATTCCATAGGTTAGTTTTTTTTTGGCTCACCCTAGAGTTCAGGTAACCAAAGTTTATGTTACATTACCAAACTGCACTTGTTTTCTTTTGTAAATTTATATGATTCGTTTAGAGTGCAGTTCATGACATAACATGGTTTGGAGATACCTTAATTAGAGTTTATTTTATTTTAAATATACATAGATATCAAAAAGAATGGAAGATATAAACAAAAATAATAATTTTAAATCTAAAAATTAAGTATATGTCAAGCAGACCTTGTTCTTTATCTTATGGACAATAATATCACTGACATAATTTTTTACACAGCCATTTGTACAGCAAAATCTTTATACGTCTGTTCTAAACATACAGTCCTATCTAAATTACATAAATAAATTATCACTAAAAATGATTAGAATAATAATATTTACAATAATTACTTTAAAGAAAATTAACATGTTCTTTTAAAATCTATACAAAGCGTCAGGATGTAAAATGCATTCCATAATCATATACTATATTTCTAGAGACCAAAAAATGTGTCGTCATAATATTTAATTATACAGGGTGAGTCTTAAATAAGTGCCACTATTTTTAGGGTAGTATATGTCGAGCCCAAACACGATATTGAGGTTTTTTTCCCGAAAAAAAAAAATTGGAAAATTTGGAAT